GTTAAATTGTATGACAATATGTGGCAATTAAAAAAAAAATTCAAAATAATGGCAGATTTTAAAAAGAATTTTGGAAATAATGACAGATTCGGTAAAATTCTATTGAATTAATTAGTCTATATATAATTTAGGCTTATAATCCATCATACAAGAAAATTAAGGCAACAGTAATTTTAGAAGAAAAAGAGAAAGAAAGAGGAAGTTGCGAGTGTGAGTGGCCGAGTGGGTGCTTATATCCCTAATATGTCATGTCATATCATGTCTTGATTGTACGAAAACCAAATCCCACTTTACTCGAAAACCCATTCACTAACAACAACCTGTAAATCATAAGAGATGCAGGTTTCCATAAGTGGCGAAACGCTCGTCAGTTATCACCAATTGCTTTTCAACTTGGCCTACTTGTGATTATCACTACTTGTGATCATCATCATCTCTCAACGTTTCATCTATAGTGCTTACATTTTCTTCTTGGATACAACATGGTTAATGGATCTTTTCCACATATATAAGCATATAATTCTATCAATATGTACATATCATGTTTTCGGTAAAAAATATAAAAATGTTATCTTGTATAAAATTCTACGTTTATAACAAAACCGCAACTTCAATTAGAATAATGCAAATACAATTAAACGATACTAGAAAACCCTTATTTATCTCGTATCCGGATTCATATTTCCAATTTTATGTTTGTAAGCATATGACGTGTACGGGTGAATATAGAAATTCTAATAGAATAACACTTAAAATAACATTTAAAATAAAGGGATAATTTCAAAAATAGAACTTTTGGAGTGTTTATTTTCAAAATTGCCACCATGAATTGCTATTATAAAAAATGCCATTCATTAAGGGTTTTAAATCTTAAACCTTAAAATTCTAAACAGTACTAAACGAGTTTTGATCCCTAACAAACTTTAAACCTCAAAAACTAAGTTAATCCAAACCTAAAAGATATTTTGAATAAGTGATATAATTTTAGTGCAGTTTTTAAAAAGATCTCAAAATAGTGGCATTTTTGAAAAAGGGTTAATTTGTCTAAACTACCATGATAAAAAAAAACTAGAACTCCTAGACCAAAACAAATTTAATTAAGTGGCAGAACTGAGAGAAATGATTTTTTTCCAAAATTATCATTTTCATCCACTCAGATTTTTTTGACTTTTCTGACACGTCGTACTAAAAAACGACATGTCCTGTCATGGAAATGACTTGACCAAATATTTCTCTTTTTCATTTAAATTTCCCTCTTTTGATATTTGTTTAATCTAATGTTTTATTTAAAATTAAAATTATATCATCATCTATATATATTAAAAGTTTATATTTTTTTCTACATATATTATAATTTAAAATTTAAAAAACGAACATATATTACTCGAATAATCTATATAATGTTATAATGCAACGTAATAAAACATATAGTATATCATATATTTGTATGGTATAACCATGTTATATTCCATATGGAATGTTATATATCATATAACATGGTTATACCATACAAATATATGGTATACTATATGTTCTATTATGATATATAACATGCCATACATAA